TGTCAAAATAGCACTTCAAGATACTTCAACACTGTATAATATAATCCTTCACTCGCGGGGCTCTGTTAAATTCTGTCAAAATAACACTTCAAGATACTTCAACACTGTATAATATAATCCTTCACTCGCGGGGCTCTGTTAAATTCTGTCAAAATAGCACTTCAAGATACTTCAACACTGTCATAATACAATCCTTCACTCGCGGGGCTCTGTTAAATTCTGTCAAAATAGGACTTCAAGATACTTCAACACTGTCATAATACAATCCTTCACTCGCGGGGCTCTGTTAAATTCTGTTACACTGTTACACTGTTTGTGAGTGCAACCCTGGGAGGTCCAGAAACGCCTTGAAACGGCTGGGCATGTCATGCAGCTTGAGGAGAATAACAGGACGAACCCCACCCACACACACAAGGGAACAGGAAAGCCCACCAAACAAAGCTTCTACACAACACATGAAAACGAAAACAACAGAAAGCTACATAAAGGTAGTGCTTCATCTCTTTTCAAACGATATACTCCTCAGCTGGGGGGCCAATCGGCACTCTGCTTTGCACGAGCCTCTGCTCGAGAAGGCAGCTTCGAGAAGAACTTGCAAGCATTTGCAGTGCAAACCCCTTACCTTCGCGCCTTACCTTCGGCTTTTCTCGAAACCTGGGCGGCGAGCCACAGGCTTGTCGGGGACTCACCTTATTGCAAAAGCAAATCTGCAAGAACTTTCCAGAAACGTGGCCGTCCCACACTTGTGATGAAGAAGACGTGCCCAACAACGGCGGCTTACAATACAAAAATAGGGAAATTAAAGCTTTCGGCAGTGCCCAGCCAAAGCAGCAGGTGGAGAGTGCAGCAGTGCAGCAGCAATAAATAAAGACACTGCAACAACAACAACAACAACAACAGGGCATTCAGCTTAAAGGATCTTAGGGACACTTCCGAATCGCATTTGTCGCTCTCATTTTAGCAAGCACTTTCTTTTCTGTCTGCTTTGGGCACTCTAGGCACTGTCCAATTTGAATGGCGGAGCGCTGCCGTAGCACAGCCCCAGTCAGCGCTGGCATGCTCATTCCAAGAAATTAAGGAGCCAAATGCAACCGATGAGTAGAATCGCTGGCAGAATAAAATCTGCTTGAATTTTCAGGCGCGGCAGCAAACTTACAAGATACAGTCTGTGAGATTAAACTCGGGTCTGCAGTTCCCAAATGGCTGTGTAAGCCACCAAAGTGCTTCCGCTGGCAGCGGCCCATTCAATATACTGCCATAATCTTCCATATGTATGTAAACACACACTTACACATATCTGTGTATGTGCTTATGCTTTTGTATCTAGCTCATCTCTCTTACCTCTGTTGGGACCACGGCCAGACTAGAGTTAAAATTTGTCCTTCCGTCAACTCCTTTTCCAAGAGTTTGTTGCTGCACACCCCGGAAATCCAAAGGGTTCATCCATTCAATTCCTCCCATCCATCTCCATGTCAATTTCTCAAAACACCAGCATCTCCTAGCAAGGGCATCGGTACTAGTAACAAATGGCATCGCTGCTAGGAGCAAGGACGCTACTAGGGGCGCTCCTGGCCTTACTATGTAACAAGAAGGCTACTAGGAACAAAGGGCATCGCAGGTATGCTTGCGCCAACAGCCTGGTGCATCATGGCCGTGTGTCCCATGCCACAAGCCATTGGCTCCGGGTCCTGTGTCGCCTTTGGCGACTTGCTTAGCCCACTTTCTGTTCTGCATCTCTGCATCTGAATCTCTGATTTCGCAAAATTGTACTGAAGGGTTGCCAAGGTTGATGTCAATATGTCCTTGTGCCAGGACCTGGATGTGATTTATGCTTGCATGATGTGCCAGGGGGAAGCGTCATGCATATAAGAAGCAACAATTGAAGACATCTCAATCATGCATGTGATGCTTTTCAAGCTTCCTCAATGAGTCACAACAACTACATAGACTAGTTAGAGTAAGGCATCTGATGAGTTAGAGTAAGGCATCTGATGAGCGCGTGTCGATATTCACATAGAATGACATAACATATGTATATATAAATATATAATATATATTAATTATGAGTCTAGTATCCTGAAAGTTGGGGGATTGTCGGGGATTGTGAAAAAAGTGCGAAACACGGTTGCCGAAAACTGCAACAGGGAAAGTGGCAACAAAAACACCAAACAAAACGTGTGGGGGTGGGTACGTAACATTACGTAACTACATATATAATTAACTACTAAGCCAGAACGCATGCTATTTTGGCAGGTGCAAGGAAGCTCAACCGGATTTGACAGTTGCAAGCTGAAGACTACCTAATGCGTGCAGCTTCTTGGAATTTTGCTGTCAATTTCATCCAGCTGGAAACCCACTTTGGACCTCAGCCGTCGCTGTAGGATGGAGATGAGCCGGGTTTCATGGGGTCTTGTGGCCGCCCTCTTGAACATGCCGAAATTACCATCACCCTGAAAGACCGACCAGTTTTGCTGCAATGCATTTTCAGTGTGTGGCTGTAGCCAGTCCTCTTGATGATCAATGAATCATGGCACATGTAGAGCTCATGCCCCATCAACATACTTGAAGGCTCATTGACAAAACCAAAACGAAAAGGTCTCGACAAAGATGTGAGCCTTCGCTTCCCAAAAGGCTTACGAGCCAAAGGCCGGAACACTGGCACCCGGATCGATGACATCCATAGATAACCTTCTCGGCACCCTGGTGTGGCAAGTCACTGTCTTCTTGTTGGACTTGTTTTTCCCGACCTGAGTGGTGGAAAAGTGGAAACTTTTTACGGAGCTCATTCCATGCTAACTCGCTCACCTTTTACTCGATTTATGTCAATCACACTCATCAAATCTAGAGTTTGGGCATTTTGTGGCATTTGTTGATGGTTGTCTCATTTTTTCTCGGTACCATTTGCATCAGAACTTGCTATCTGCACTTGTTGTTTATCAATTTGTGAAAAAGACAGCCGCGTGACTTGTTGGAATGCTCTTGACACCAAGTCCAAGTCGGGAAAGCCAAGCTACTCCAAGTCCCTTCGTTTTCGCATCAACATGGACGTCAAGGAAGCTGTGGCGGTGCCATCCTCCCTCAAGAATCCTTGATGCTCGGAGTACCCGAGAGCATATGACAGCATGTGCATGCAGCCCATGCAGGCCGATTGAATTTCAATTTATTCCCATTTGGATCAGCTGCGCCACAATGATGTGTCATGTGGGCAATGTACTAGTACTTAAGAGTCTTGTCGAGGCAAACCAGCAAACATTGATGGTGTGAAGTTGTTCATGCTGGGTCAACATGCCCAGTTGACCCATGCGGCATCTTGCATCCGGGGTGCCGAGAAGCTCATTGGTCTCTAAGACCGGCCTAGTGCCTTCAATATGCCAAAGCCAGCTGCAATGGGGAAGGTACCTAAAAGGACAACCGGAGGCACACGGAACTACAGCGCATATATAAGGCCAATAAGGTCAAATATTTTTTTTGGACAGCTCCAGCGCAGCTCAAACCTGCCTGAAGAATGACCCACTGTAAGAGATTTGATACTTTCACTGGAAGTTGCCACCCATGTCTTTAACAAGGGTTGCTGGGGGCGGGTTCCTCATCCAGAATCCAAAGGACTACAAATTCTGGAAGACGCCCTCTGCCATCTACACAGTCGTTTTCTCCAGCCCAGGTGCACTTGCATGGACCCGGGCATGAGCTCCTGAAGATTGTATGCTGCATTTTGAACCGCCTCAGTCCCACGAACCGGCCACTCAGGCAACTTGGGAATCTGCCCGAAGGGAAGGAAGGGAGGAGGAAACATGCCTTGCGACATCTGTCTGGGCCATGGTCTGCTTGCACATGCACAACCTTAAGCTTTTTGCTAAGGTCTTTCCTGCCGCTTCATCCAACCCGCTTGGCTCGAGTTGCTGCCACTGGTGAATGGCTCCCGCAAGCCAGAATAACATAGATTGACCTGGCTTTTACCAAACAAGCTGAAGCTGAACACTTCCATAGAAAAAAATGACTGATCAACCCTGCCTTGGTGGCTGCCAGGGAGGCAATGTTTTCAGGACCTGTGTCAGTTTCCTGCACAGGAGACGGTGAGCAACTACAAATTTGCCGTGCTGAAAGCTCGAGGCCTCACGGTCCAAGTTGGCTGCAATACACCCATCTTCCTTGGCGCAAGAAGGCCAGCAACTACCAACAAAAAACACTAAGAAAAGCATCGGAAGCATGCATCCTTCTTCTTCCTCTATCAACTTCCAGTTCTGGGCGTCCAGAAGGAATCGGAAGCGGTGCTCAGGGCCGATTCATACTGCCTGTGCATCGCCTCACAAAAAAGAAGGCAGGGGGGTGTCAAGCATGGACTGCTGAATCATGAGAATCTTGAAACCATCTATGTATAGATATATATATATACAAAAGAACCGGACACTGACACGCGCTGGTGCGAACAACCAATGGTGGTAAACACACTGACTGCCTCAATCAGCCTCAATACCCTTGCTCTGTTGGATGACGGCACCCGTTTCAAATGCAGCAACTGAGGATGGAACAGAATCCATCAATTCTGCCTCAATGCTGTTCGGTCTGAAAATCAAAACTTCCAGGATGCAAAAACAATCTATTACTATGTGTGTGTGTGTGTGTCCCACCCTGGACAAAGGGTCTTTCACCACCACTCTTTC